AAAAAAAAAAAAAAAAGTAGACAATCAGGGCAGCCTCAGCATCAACAGAACAATGTGTTTCAGGTGGTTTCCCTGAGATTTAGAGTTTTTATCAGCAACCTCTCACAGTAGCATCTGCTCCCTTTCTCCTCTCCTTTGCCAACTTTTTGCACTGAACCAGGAAAATGTTAAACATTGCTTAGTCCTCTTCCTAACTCCGACTTATGAGCCTGTTGGTATTTCTGAAATATGCGTTGACTTCCGAAAGTGCCTTTAATCTCTTCTTACCAGCTTCTCGCATGGGGAAAAAGCTGTTGCTTTGAAATGGATTGGCTCAACTTTAGGGCTTGTAATCAGACTGGAGAGTGGCTGTGTGCTGACAAAGGCTCTCAGGAAAGTCACATGTGCCTACACATAAAACTGATGGGAATCTCAGTCTATAAATAGATGGGTGGGACAAATACATAATTCCTAATTCTAGTGTTTCTTCAGCTCAATTTTTTTTTTTTTTTTTTTAATTTTTAAGACTCCATTCCATCAGCTGAGCAGAATCTGAATTCCACAGCCAAGGAATCATTTTTCTAACCCAGAGGGGAAGGAAGTAAGAGTCCTAAAATTCCTCTCTCCAACTTCCTTCCAAATTGTTTCTCTATGCCAAGTTCTATTTCCCTCGTTTCCCTGCTTTGAACACTCAAAAGCCAGAAAGAGTCTTAGGTTTTTTTTTTTTCTCTGCTGCTTGTGCTGTCAAGTACATGCCCTGTGGGGATGCGCACAAACCAGCTTGGCCACCTATACTGAAGGGAGCCTCTGAGGGGAGGATGGGGACTTTGGAGATCAGTTACACCTTCAGACTCTGTCAGGCATGAAGCAGGGATAGGGACAAGAGGACATGCAGCGCTCAGGGATTCATCGAAGGTCACTAAAGGCCTTTGGAGAACAGGTAAGATAATGAATGGGTGTGAAAGAGACTGAGAGTGAAAGGGAAAGAACAATGTGCCTAAGGAGGGTCCATTTTTATTAGCAATATTGGTACTTTCACTTTTGTGGGAAATGCCAATATCCAGATTTTTAATTGTAATAAAGCTGTGGCAATACATTTGGCTGTAAGGAAACCTTTTAATTTCCAGGATGAATTCAAAACTTGTTCCAGAGTGTTATTCACATTCACATATGGCAAAATTGTAAAGTAACAAATGAGAGATGTTAAAAATCTCAAGACAGTTCGAAACCACACACATTCTGTCATTATTATGCCTTAAACTTTAAAATTTAATTCTCTCTTTTTAACAGAGAGAACATTGGAATAAGATGCAAGAGACCTAAGTGGCTCTTGCTTGGTCAGTAAAGAACTCCATCCCCAGCAGCAAAATGCCTTTGAGCATCATTTTCCTGCTTGATAAAAAGGAAGCTTAAACTATGAAATCTGCAGTGCTCTCCCAGTCTAATAGCCTCTGATTCTGTCATCTTTGTACCTTTCCAAGAAGCCCTACCTTTAATTTTCAACTTTATCCCTCACCATTCTGTGAAGCTAATGACATTCAGAGTCGCTACCTCAGCAGCCTGTCTTGTCCCAGTAGATATGAAAGTATGGAAAAAAGTGGAAAAAAATAGAATGAAGACATAGAATCCAATTCTCCTCTCTCACTCCCTTCCCTCTTTCCTTCCTTTGTTCCTTGCTTGCACATTGTAGGTGCCCTAGATGTAAGAATGAGCAAGAAAGATCAGGCCTGTTCTCTGTCTGCCCCAAATCCATCCATCTTCCAGGTGTAACCTAAACTTCAGCTCTTCCAGAAGACTCATGACCACAATCCATAGGCATCTTTTGTACTACTCATTTACTAATTGGGCTTAATATTTCCTCAGGTGACTAGTACAATCATCAGTCAAAGCTGTGATACAAGTTTGTGCAATTGTTTCCTGAAAAAGGGCACCTGGGTGAAGTAGAAAATCAGGGATCAAAATTAGGATCCCTTCCCCACCCCAAGTTGTCTCCCTTTGGCGTGGTATCTGCCCAAAGCAAGGATCTTTTTCTTATTCTTCCAAAACTACTCTTGTAAGAATATAGCTTTGAAAAAGAATCAACACACTGGGGCAACCCACTTTCTGAGATTTTCATTCTCTCAATAAATTCTTCCTACTCTTAACCTCCAAAAAAAAAATCAACACATTCTGTATATCCCTGAAAATTACATTCAAGTCCTAGCAACAAAAAACCTCTACCTCTTTCTGCAGTCAGACCATCCTGGTTGTTCTTGGCCTTTAGACCTTCAGTGCCAGCTGTACGCCCAAAACACCATCCTTCATTTTAGTTAGCAGTGTTCCATACTCCACAAGTTCCCTGAATCCATTCCCGACTAATCACCCCAACTCTTGGCCAGGATAGGTGGGAAGAAAACACAAAAAACAGACAACAGCTAGGCTCAGCAGCACATCCTTGCCAATGCAATTCAATAAGCTAGTTGACATTTGGTATCTCAGAATATCTTCAGTTTTCCAAAGAATTTTGGGACTTCTACAGATTCATGGAAGGCTGCCAAGGAATACACAAGGAAATCATGTTCAACCCTCTCCCAACGGCCCCCTACTTCTGCTAATGTCCCACAAAACCACAGCACAATATCTACCCTGTGAAACGGACGTTAGTGCAATCCATAGCACTTATTCAGGTTCTCCAAGTGCTGTATAACTAACTTATGTGGGGGACTGTGGTTGGGAGTGTGTGTATAGATTTATGCAGTTCTGTCACATGTATGGCCTTGTGTAACTGCAACCACAATGGAGATACGCAATTATACCATCACCACAAAGATATCCTTATGCTAACCACTCTGTTCCCTCTCACCCTGACAACCACTAGTATATGCTCCATCTCTGCAATTTTGCTATTTCAAGAATGTTACACACATGGAATCATAAAATTGTATCCTGTTAAAGATAAAGTCAATTTTAGAAGTTTTAGCCCAAGGTAAAGCTATGAAGTTAATAAAATTTCCATGAACCATGCATCTAGTCTACCTTATTATCTTCTTATAGTTTGTTACAAGTAATAAAACAATATCATTACATTATTACTGGCTAAGGTCTACATTTTACTCAGATGCCCTTAGTTTCCAGCTAATGTCCTTTTTCTTTTTCAGGATCCCACTCAGATACCACATCATATTTCCTCCTTGTGTCTCCTTAGGCTTCTGTTGGCTGTGATAGTTTTCCTGTTTGTGATGAGCTTGATAGTTTTGAAGACCACAGGTCATGTACTTTATACAGTGTCCCTTAAGTAGGATTTTTCCAATGTTTTCTCATGATTAGACAAGAGCATATGTTTGGAAGACACCAAAAGACCACAGAATTGAAATGAAATTAGGGTCACCTCCACATATTATCAGTCTGATATATAATTATTGATGTTGACTTTGATCACCTGGCTGAGCTACTACTAGTAGTGTGGTTTCTCTACAATAAAGGCACATTTCCCCCTTTCTCTCTCTGTCCGCGTTACAGGAAAAATCATTACCCAGAACCTACACTTAAGAAGTGTGAAGCTATGCCTCAAGTCATCGACGGCTAGGTTTCTACATACATTATTTGGAATCTTTATTCATAGGAGAATTGTCTTTACTTTAATGTTTGATTTTAAACAATTCTAGACTTATAGAAAAGTTGAAAAGAACGATAGACAGTTCTATATAATGACTTCACCCAGCTTCATGTAATATCAATATAGTATGTAATCATAGCACAATCATTAAATATAAGAAAATAATTGGTACAGTACTATTAATCTAGCTACAGGCTGAATTTCATCACTTTTTACAATAGCATTTTAAAATAATTATTTTAAAATTATAACTGTTGAAAAATGCATAGCATTAAATTTATCATCTTAACCATTTTAGGTACACAGGTTAGTAGTATT